CGGGGCGGCGCCCCCCCCCGGGGCCCCCCCGGTGCCCGCCGGGAGCGGGCAGCCGGGGAGGGGGCTGGGGCCGGCGTGGCAGGGCCCTCCCGCTGCTCCGGCCCCAGCCCTGTGTCTGTGTTTCAGGGACCACAACCGACACCGGCCGAGAGGCCACGGACCAGATACTGGAGACCCGGCGGGCACTCGTTGATCTGGATCATCAGAGGGTGAAGCTCGAAAGGCTGAACAGGCGTGCCATCTGGCGGGGCCGGGGGAGGCTCGCTCCCTGCGTGCCGGGCGATGAGCCCTGCGGCTCCCTTGTCTTTGCATGTTTTCCCTCGCCCCAATAAAAGCCGTGAGCTGAGCCTGGCTGCCCGACCCCCTCCCTGTGCCCATTGCAGGGGTGTGGGAATCGGGGAGGGCGGAGGGGGGAGCCGGGGCCCCATCGCTTTTAGAAGTGGGGCAGGGAGGATCTGCGAAGGGGGGGGCTGGCGGAAAAGCAGCGGCTCTTTGGCCCAGTGGGCACGGGGCCTTTCAGAGTGCTGCAGGGAGTGCTGGGGACGGGTCAGAGGGGGTGGTGGCTGGAGGGGCTGCCCCCCGGGAGGGGAGGAGCCAAGAGAGGCCGGTGTGCCTTGTCATTTGCCCCCCTCGCTGCTCACCGGGGGGTTCTCGGCAGGGAAGGCCCCATGTACGCAGGGACTGCCCCGGCACTGCAGGAGTGTCAGTGCCAACGTCCCCGCTGCCCTACCCGGGTTGAGCTGCGCCCAGCGGTGGCAATACCGGGATGCAGGAGGGGGCTGTGTTTTAGGCTCTGCAGTGTCTCGGCCTGAGCAGAGCAGGCTGCAGTGCACGCCACGCGGGAAAAACCCCTCACCTACCTTCCCAGTCACCCCCCGGCTCCCTGCTCCGGGTTCAAGCCCCAGGGCCGATGACAGGCTGTATGCAGGGGGTCTGGCTGGGGGTCCGGGTGAGCGACAAAGTATCGCATACGAGTAAGGGGACAGAAGAGCCTGTCCGAACTCACCCCGCCCCCCACGCCCACCCCAGCAGCCCAGGGGGGGCTCAGGCCGGGCCCAGGGTCTCAGGCCGACGCTGCAAAGCAGCTATTGCTCCTGGCCTCCCCTGCGGTGAGGAAACCCACCGGAGGAGCCGTTAAGGGGCCGGTTTGGTGCATTGCACACGAAGCTCTTTCCTGTTTCCCTGGGGGAGGCAGGAGGTTCCTAAACCCCCAAGGACCCTCCCCCTGTGGGAGAGGGGAAGCCGGGTTAAAGTCTCTCGTACGTGCCAGTTGCTCACGGAAGGCCGAGGCCCCTCTGCCAGGGGAGCGGGTGGCGGAGGAGACGCGGCCTGGGAGGACGATGAGGCGTCGGGGGCTGGTGCTGCTGCTGGTTCTGGCGCTGGCCGGGGCTGCCCTGGCTGGGCCCGTCCTGCTGCCAGTGCTGGTGGGTCCTACTCCTGCTGCTGGTTCTGGCGCTGGCCGGGGCTGCCCTGGCTGGGCCCGTCCTGCTGCCAGTGCGGGTGAGTCCTACTCCTGGGGCCCCACGGGGACGCCCTTTCCCTCCTGCTCCCTCCCCGGGGATCCTGGCTGGGGAGGGGATACCGGGGCCCCC